TATTGTGAATACATCTAATTGAGATCTAGAGTCTCAAAATAAAAACCTTATTTCTAGAGGTTGGGCTTTTAGAAGGTTGGAGAGTCACATTTAATTGAGACCTAGAGTCTCAAAAAATATAATCTTTATTTTTAGAGGTTGGACTCTTAGAATGTTGGAGAGTCACATCTAATTGAGATGTAGAGTCTCAAAAAATAAAAACTATTTTTAGAGGTTGGGCTCTTAGAAAGTTGTAGAGTGTTAATTTTAAGGGTGAATGGATTAGTCTTGCATCAATTAGAAATAGAGAAAATATTGGATATATAAGATATGTATTCTATATCTCATTGTTTTAAGATTTTGGATAGATATATGGTGTTAAGATCTCTTGAATCTTAAACGTTTAATTTATTGACACTTCTAGATTTCCTGAACTTCCAAACAAGTAATATCGAGGCCATAGATAACATGAGTGTGAGAGCGGAAGTGGATATTCTAGTATGCATCAAAATTAGTGATGTGAGTGTTTCATATTTACGGGAAAGATTGATGGATTCAAGTGGAAGTGATTAAACCTCACATCAACTATAAATAAATAAAACATTTATTACTTTCTCCGTTTCAAAATGACCGTCATTTTAACAAATAAATTTTGTTTTAAATGACTGTCATTTTTACTTTTCAATGTAGTAATTATTACTATTTTTCTAATTGTGTATCCTTTACTTTTTATTCTCTACACTAATTTCAATATATTAATAGAATTAATTTTATAAAAGTAAAATGTCTTATGACAATATCATTGTATTTCTTAATTTGTATGAAAACTCATAAACAATAACCATTTTAAAACGAAGAGAATATTTAAAAAAAAAAAAAACTGATATTCCTATTATCTTACGATTTTTCATGAATGTATGACATTAAAGTCTTCTGAATCTCCGACCTATTAATATTTGTAGGGGTCATCAGACACCTCAAAAGACACGTTAGAAGGTTGGTAAGGTAGTACAACAATACTCAAAGCTTATTTGTGGGGGCAATCCAGTAAAAAAGTTTAAAATGGGAATAGTAGTACTTACATGAATACGTGGTTTGGAATGATTGAGCAATATTTTTTTCTTGTGACTTACAAGTCGTGTCGTGCATGGTGGGACTCATTGGACATAACTCTAATCACGTATCTTTTCGCGTTAATCAATTAATTATTCCCACTTTAAGTGCAACATTTTTAATCTACTTTTTAATGCATACCATGTGTGATGTTTCAAAATTCAAAAATTGGTTTTGAATTTTGATTAAGATGGAGTATACATAGATGTTGAGATTAAAAAACATAGACTAAAATAAATAGATTTAGATTGACATATGGACATGATTATGACCACTGATACTAGAAACAACTTCCATCTGTCGGAAATATATCAACCCTCTGTCACAACTGGTGGACATTAACTTAATACTAGATTAATATTATGGATTTAAAAACAAATAAACCTTTTTCAATGAAACTTTCTTCATATTTTTTGTTGTTGAAATTTCTGATACTGCATTGAACCCATGACCTTACGTCCCATAAATAAAGTGTGTCACATAATATGCTATTCTCCTCTGCAGATGTACGCTGATCATATACCTATTTTTTCTGTTCTGAATCTTTATCATAGTAATCTTCTTCTTCTTCATATTCTTCATCTGCGTCATTGTGATTTTCATTCTTTATGTTAAAGTTTCTACCTTTTTTCTGGGAATTTTCTTTAAAAAAATTTGATGTTTTTTTTTTCATTGCAGAGACAGAACAGGTTACAATCAAAAAGATCATAGATTGTATGCAAAGAGGACAGGCAGAATCATCATCATCATCATCTGAATTCTTGCTGATTCTTTTATTTCAATTTTCATATGTAACAGGGCAAAGAAGAAGAAGATGATGATTCCAGATCGGTTAGAGACTTGTCATGACCCTCTTAGGATAATAAGATTAACTTTTATACCAGAAAAACTAGGTGACTTAGTTTCAATGGCAATAAAGATTGGTATACTGATCTGTCTTATAGGATCCATAGCACTGGCTATTCACTCAACATTCGCTAAACCGGACCGATGGTTTCCGTTACCGGAGCATTTACATATTATACAGAATGATTCAGTCATTGAAGTTGACATTGACGCAACAAACATCTCACATATTGTATTCGGCATTGCTGGTTCATCGAACACGTGGGGTAGCCGTAGCAACTACGGGAAGCTTTGGTGGAATTCAAACACTTGTAGAGGTTATGTTTGGCTTGACAAGAGACCGAAGAATTTGAAGCCGGATGATGAGTTAATTCCATATAAAATCTCAAAGGGATGGACCAAGTTCAAGCACACGCACTCTGCGTCTGCTGTTCGGATAGCACGAATAGTTTATGACAGCTTTAGACTCGGTTTTCCAAATGTTAGGTGGTTTGTAATGGGAGACGATGATACGGTGTTTTTTCCAGAGAATTTAGCTACTGTGTTGGGAAAATATGATCACAATCAATGGTATTATATTGGTGGAAATTCTGAGAGTGTGGAACAAGATGTGATGCATTCTTTTGATATGGCTTTTGGTGGTGGTGGTATTGCAATTAGTTATGCATTAGCAGCTAGACTAGCCAAAATTATGGATTCTTGTCTTCATAGATACTTTTATTTTTATGGTTCTGATCAAAGAATTTGGGCTTGTATAAAGGAATTAGGAGTATCTCTTACCCGAGAAAGCGGATTCCATCAGGTATACATACACATTAATTACGCTATAAAGCTTTCTTTATCAGTAAGAAATTTACCTTACCCGAGAAAGCGGATTCTATCAGGTATACATACACATTAATTACGCTAGAAATTTACCGCTGTTATGGTCTTTTCGTTTCAGTTTGATGTTCAAGGGAATCCATATGGTATTTTAGCCGCGCATCCTTTGGCGCCACTGGTGTCACTCCATCACCTTGATCAAGTGAACTCAGTGTTTCCGAACCAAACTCAAATGAGTTCATTGAGAAAGCTCATTGGTGCGTACCAGCTTGACCCTGCAAGGATAGTGCAGCAAAGCATCTGTTATGACCATAGCCGAAAATGGTCGATATCTATTTCGTGGGGCTACTCGATACAAATCCATTCACTGTTGGTGAGTGCAGCAGATTTGCAGATGCCCTTGCAGACGTTTAAAACTTGGAGAAGTTGGAGCGATGGTCCTTTCACGTTTAATACTCGATGGATAAACCCTGATGTATGTGAGCAGCCATCTATATTTTTCCTGGATCAGGTTAAAAAGGTGGGCACTGGAAGTGTCATGGCCTATAAGAGATCGGTTGACCAAGAAGCAAAGAAGTGCAAGAGAGCAGATGAAGAAGTGCGGAGAATTAAAGTTTCTGCGTTGAGGCTGGATTCAGAATATTGGAAGAATGTATCATCCTCTCCCTTTCAAATAGTATTGAAATTTCTATAGCATTGGAGTTTAAGAATGGATTTTAGTTTGATAATTTGATTTGACTGTTTTAAATCAGGTACCGCGGAGGCATTGCTGCCAATTTATGGATCGTGGAAGCATAAAGGATGGCAATGTGCATATCAGAATAAGGAAGTGCAGACCTCAAGAAACAATTTCTACTTAGAAATCAGTTTGTTTTTGTTGGTCGGTATAGATTAATATAAAAGTTGAGTTGTGTAAGATTGGTCACGAAAAATTTCACATATGTACATATGTAATTGGTCAAAATGATTACATAATTCTTGTGAGGCCCGAGGGTACATGATACAATCACTTTCTCTCTATATATCCCTCCTGTCGTTTACTTCACTTCTTTTCAAATGGAATGTATTCAGATTTTTGATGACGTAGGACATGAAGATATAATGAGAAACCTTAATTGAATGCTAGGATTATAATTGTTAGATCACAATAGATAGAATATGAAAGATCTCCTCTTTCATGGCTGTTATATGGTGTGAGCTTGGAGTGCTTAATTGATTTAAGAGATGGTACACCGACGCAGCAAACTTGATTGACATATTTTGAGTTTTTGACACCAAAAAGGAAATATGGAAATATGCCAATTCACATAATTCATTCAGGAGAATGCCATTATGCATAATGACATGCCTAGACCAAATTTTGTCACCAAAAAGGGGAAATGCAAATAGGTATGCAACTACTAATACATCACAAAGGCACAAATCCAACAATCAATATATTTCAAAAACATTGATTTAACGTGTCGGGTTTATCATACTCAGCAAAGATATGAATGCCTGCAAAATTAATCTATGTCATACCCCTGTAGAAGAGAATTCAGATTCTGTACAAAATAGTTTTGGAAACTAAGCGTTAACCATCCCTATCGCAGCCCCATGGATAGAAAGGGAGCCCAATAGTTCCCGCTAGAGAGCGGAAATCTATTTGAAGATGTAATAAATATATTAATCTAAGTTACAGGAACAAGTCTTAGGTTTTGAATCAGGAAACTGAAAAATGCTACACTTGTTTTTTTTCAATATGAACTCCTTTATATACATATACAGAGTCTCGTATCAGGCAGTACTCTCACGGTTACAATGCAATTAACTACCAAACAAACTAAAAAACCTGAATCAAATAACTTTTAACAACAATAAGCTTCTATGGAAGGTGGGGGATAAAGTGGAGATGCCAGACAGATAGGTGAAAATGTGATTTTTGTTACAACACAGTTAACTATTTACCAACAAACTAACAAACCTGATTTAAGTGACTCTCTTAAGAGCAAACTTCTTTGAATGCGGGAAAACTGGAAATGCCAGACCGGAAATGGAGATGTGATTTTAGATTTTAAACAGACTTAAAAATCTTCGCCTGAGAATTCTTGTAATACATCTGCATCTACCATTAGCAAAACAAAATTAACAAGTGAATATGATTCACAGTATTTTGAATAATCAGTATTTTAACTTCAGGGATCGTGTGTATTGAGTATGAGCAGAAAACCCCATTCAAATGCAAACAACATTTAATCTCATTAACCAACAAATCCAGTATCTTCAAGGCTTGTGATTCCACTTGAAGGAACAGAAACCTTTTCTTCAGGTGCCAAACCTCCTACTGATTCACCCTGTTTGTGCTGCAAATGTTCAGAATCCTGCTCAGGGAATACCTCAAGTTGCAACGAAAGTGAAATGTTATTCACATGAAGCCAAGTTAATTCCCAAAGACTATCACCACCCAGTGCACTCCTCTGTGCCAGTATACCTCTCATTTTCATTGAAAGCAGAGAGTTTTTAAGTAGGTCGGGCACTGTTTCTTGAAGCTTCTCACTTCTTTTCCCCCTAACTTTCACCTTCATATATTTCTCCATTCTGGTCAGTACACCTAACCATAGCTTGCAGAAGGTTGTTAATTGTGATAAAACAGGGAGTGATTGAAGAAAAACTTTGGACAGGAGCTTCACTGCTAAGATAAGGGTGCCCTCCATATTGCGGTAGTCCTTCTGAGAGTGTCCCTGTGAAATCTCAAGAAGATCATCAAGCACGGTGAAGATCACGAGATCGAAACAGTCTAACCACTTACCATATGGGAGATAAATGTCATCTGCTCCTGTCAAGCACTTCTGCAAAGATAATAAAGCATGATTTCTAACCTCCTCTCTCTGGTCTAAACACACTTTCCTTAGACCCTGTCCTAGTATCAACCACATGTCTCCAATATCCTTAGACAACTTGGACATTTGCTCCTCCTCCATTGTCTCCTTGGCCTCGCTAGTCCACCGGGACAAGCAGTTGACAGACCCTGTCATTAGATCTAGTGCCCGCACAGATCGCTCAGCTTGGCCAACACGAGACTCAGCAAACTGCCTTGCAGTATCTACACAGAGAACATAATTAGCTGGAAGCGAGTAGGCACCATCTGACATAATGAAAAGAAGTGTATCAAATCCAGCCTCAGATGCTTCAATATGCCTAGCAGTGATGGAAAGTAGTGATGTAATTGTACGCCATCCTAACTGGGATCTTATGTGAGAAGCATTTGCCTTCACAAGGCGGCTGACTTCCTGAGTAATCTGTTCGCAGTAAGCATCAGCAACCCGGGCATCAAGCTTTAAGACAAGTTGTAACGATCTCAAAAGTTCATCGGCAATGTTTTCCTTGTATGGGAGCAATCGCTGGCAAATCCTTAGGAGTCCAAACACAGCCTTTTCTACTAAGGCACAGGGCATTACAGTTGATTGAACAATATTGGATATGTGGTCATATACACCCGGCCAAAGAATCCCTATTCTATCCCTGTTGTTCAAAGTGATTGCAATCAGCAACTCCAAGCAGAAAACTGCCGTATCTTCATCCTCTGGTGTGCTGTTCACTTTTTGAGGTCGACCTGCAGCCCAAATGAGCGCTTTTGCAAGTTGTTCGAGAGATTTAGCTTGCAGAAATTTACTCTCAGTAAATATGCTGTCAATGTGACACTTCTGTATTGTTTGAAGAGTGCGCTGATGAGCAGCAAGTTGTTGTTCAGTAGGTTGTGATCTTGGCTCCTCAGTGTCAAGAGATAAGAGTTGACTAAACCTACCCATTAATCCTGAGGATCTCCTTGGTGTGCCAATAGATTGCATATGAGCTGAAGATAAAGAATTCACAATAGGTTTGCCATGCACAGTTTCAGCAGAAAGCTCTGACTCGTCAGCTGCATCACTGGCAACACGGGCGGGGAGAAGACCTAGCTTGTGCAATCTTAAGATGCAATCCAGAATATTTCTCCAACCTGTGCGTATGTAATCACCATACCTGTTAGCAATAGTGAATACTGTTACAGTTGCCATTCTTGCTTTCATGTCATCTCCAAAGGCAAGGACTGGTTCCTCAACCAGCGATGGATTTAAGAGTGTAGTGAACTTACAAAGTGACACAACCAGATCATCAAGAACGTCTTCAAGATGATGGCAAGCAGAAATCTTAGCAATAGCTAAGAATCCGTCCATACATGTTTGGTATACCTCTTCATGTTCGGCATGATCGAATACAACAGAGATCGCAGCAATAGTTGGCCCTGACATTATGGCAAACATATCATGATCAAGGTAAGCCTTGGAGCCAGATACAATAAATGGAGCAGTTTTCTTTGACTTATGCATTAGATCGATCCATCGACTTGGTGTCATTTCAGGAAAGCCAACACCTTGTTCAGGGGTTGTACGGATTTCATTCTTACAAATTGAATGATAAAGTTCTGATAGGAATTCACGAGGAAGATCATTGCCACCATTTATATGCCTATTGTTCTTGATAAAATCCTCTTCTGTCATCTTCTTTTTAACCTGCACGTTGTGCTGGTCTGTATTAAGCATTATCATTGAGTATGATAACACAAGAGCAGCATCCTTGTTAGCTAGGATATGTGGTGACTGTTCATAGTATCTCTCAGAGAAAGCTTCAAGCACCCTATGTATCTTTTGTGACTCTCCGGGCAATCTGAAAGTCTCCAGAAATAAACGAAGGGCTGTATCTAAGTTCATATCCTGGAAATCAAATGTTCCAGCAAATTCATGAAGAACCTGAACACAAAATTCGTCATGATTTCCAAGAAAATCACCAACAAGATTCTTATCCAACCCAGCAGTGTATCTGAAAAAGCAAGCAACACTTTGGGGATCAAGTTTGTCAGGCAAGAGATGTGTTCCCTGGAGAAACTCCAAACCTTTCTTAGGATCACGATTGAAGTGATCAGCACCAATCATCAATCTTCTCTTTATGTACTTTCTGCGGCGGGTGAAAGTAACCCAATGATTTGGATCACCATAATTTTCACATTTAACCATCCAGAATGGAATATACTCTTCAAGATTCACAGGAGAATATTCTGAGTTAGCAGATCCATTGGTTATCCTTTCAGCCATTCCCTGTATAACAGCAATAAGACCGTCCAAAGCAAGAATATGCATCGCAGACAATGGACAGTTCACAGGAAATGCACTTCTGGACAACAAATTAGCGAGGTCTTCAAAGACATTACTGCAAGTTATGTCGCTATCAAAGTTAGCATACATATCAACCATAAATGTCTTTTGCCTGCAGAAGTCGACGAGGGCTTCCATGGCTACCTCTTGCTGCTGGTATGAAGCCCCATATCTGCTTTGTGCAAGTCTCAAAATGACACAAGAAAAAAATGCTTCTAGCTGCAATTTGAGTTCTGTACGAAGATGATGATAAAGATTGAGAACAATGCTACACACCATTGAAAGTATGAGTGGACTCATTGACAAACCAAATTGCATCAGATTATGAAAAAGCTCATCCTGAATTAAGCTTAGTAACCTTGGGTGATGGTGAATAGAAGGCCCTCCAAGTTCTATAGCCGAATTGATTAAAGTTAAAGCAAAAAGGGGTACGTCTTCATCAAATGCTATAGTGTTTGATCTAGGACCCAATTCTGTATTCTCAATAACATTCAGCAAAGAACACAAAAAGTGAAATATTTCCACCATGCAAGGAACACCATATGGTTCAGTCATGAGATGCACATCATATGATGCACCTTCCTTGCCAGTAAGTGCTATCGCTGTGTTTTCATCCATCATAGTTACTGTCACAGCACTTGCAGCATTTGAAGCAAAGTTTGTGGGTTGCGGCTGATTATCATACTCAGAACTCATGCTGCCATTCTCCAACTTTCTACTTCCAAAAGCATACTCATTATTTAGGCCTCCAGTCTGCACAAACAAACAACAAATACAAATATTCATGTAGAGGTGGTATGGTGAATGCTAAGTTCATGACAACCCCAAACAGAGAATGATACAGAGGGAAGCAAGTGTGGCTAAATCCCCCTCCACAAACATTACTATCAGTTTTTTATAAGTAATAATATTACAATAATTTTAAAACAATATCCACATTTCATAAGTGATTCTCTTAATATACTAGGTAGGTAACTTCTGCTTGTGTTTTCTACTTTACATATTCATCTATTATTTTAAATATTTCATTTTCTGGTTTTTTTACAAATCCAATTTTTCTAAACCTTTTATTATGATATATGTATATAGACACAAACACACGTATAGTTGAATGCACGACTTTTACGATGACTATTTCTCTAGAGTTCCTTAACATATGTGCCCTGGGTGTATGTTAAGAAACTCTATAGAAACAGTCGTCATAAAATTCATGCATTCAACTATAAGTGACATAAGTCGTGCATTCAACTCTATATAGAAATGATAGCATTTTCCGTTTTATTTAAGTTGTAATAAAAAAATAATAAATGAACTATAACTGCCATAAAATTATATACATGGTTAGTTTTATAAAAAAAAAATGCTTTTATATATTTAAAACTTTGAAATTTGTGATACTTCATTTTTGTCCCCTTTCTCCTAGTCTATTAGATTTGAGCCTGCATCTGGAACTGTAATTTTTAGGCAAACCCATTAACAGTTCCCTATAATGTCTGAAAAATTGACTATCTAAGTGTCATGGTCAGTAGTAACCTCTGAAGCACGGGTACTTCTAAAATGTTGAAGTACCCGCACCACACACACGTACCATATTTGTGATACTTTACTTATTCTTATTATTCTGTTTCGAGCGAAATTTGTGGTTTTTTCATTATTTAATATAATATCTTAAATATTTTAGTTTCTTTGTTATTGTAATTAGACATAACTTTTTGACTTTTTAAGCTTTTATTGCGATGTTTTATTTTGAATCAAACAATTTAGTTCTCTATTGATGAATTTTATAGAGAAAATCGTAATTTTTATTATCATACTCGTACCTTGATTTCTTTTAAACAATGTATCATGTGCCAATACCCGCACCCGTACTGGGTACCATACCCGTACCTATGCATCATAGTCAGTAACTATCTACAAAGACATGCTCTTTCCTAATACCAACTATACAGAGAAAGACGGTAAAGATAGTTATCATACTTTCTTCTTGTTGGGGGACAGAGGAAAAGGGAAGACTATTAGTGGAATATAACTCCCTAAAATCTCCAGCTATATATTTATTGCATATAATAAAAAGACTGAAATTATAACCTAAAGGGTTAAACATTTTTAATCTGATTCCTATAGAATTGTCAAAATTTGATTTTAGTCTATTTAAAAACTTGGGGATTTACTATCAAATTTTTCAATTCTATAGCAATCAACAAAAAATTAAACCCAACTTGAATAGAGAGTCGACAATATTCTGTCCGCAGAATAGACAACCAAACTGTCTTTGTACCAGCTAAGAGAATGATAATGGAAAAAACCTTGAAATAATGGTAACACTATCCTCTTACCTCCTGTTTTAAATTAGAGCTTCCATTAACCAATGCATGGTCTGTATTGTCAACATCTTGAAGGTGAGAAAAAATACACCTAACAAGTTCATGCATTGTGTACCGTGATATCTGCTGCAACGACTCACCTTTGTTTCCTGCTTGATGAACTATACGGAAACAAGTATTCACTATGGTGCAAACATGTTGGTTACTCAGCATTACAGACGCTTTACTTTTCATACACGCTAGGAGAACTTGTAGTATCTTTATCAAAACGACTTCTTCTGAAGAAGTATCCGTGACATCGAATCTGCAGCTAGTAACAGCATCAACCACCAAGTGAATGGCATCCTCAACATTGACAGTATTATGATCAATCACATCAAGAGTCAATATCTTGTAAACAGATGACAAAGAAACACCAGTAATTGCTGCACCGGTTTCATCAGACCGAATCACATCTAGAAAAGGCTGTAGATACAATGTGGGGTTGATAGATTGCCACTGATGATGGTTCCATGAAAAGATTTGCCTCCTTAATGCCTTAAAAGACTGAATAAGAGAGTGCTCCAGATGATCATCGCCCGACATATAACGACTTCCCCATCTCACATTTCTTCTCATTACTGCCAAAACAGCACCAATTTCCGAATTTATCATGCACGATAAAGTTGTTCTGCTAGGACAGGCATCGTCACATTCTTCAGGCTCCTCCTCCTCTATTGAGTTGATACCCGTTTGCAGCTTTAGACGTCCCATTTTAGCAATAGACCAAAAAATCTGGTAGAAGTTCAACGACACAATAGAATACTGAGATCATGAACAAAAGTCTGTTAAGAGACAAAAATATCAAGGCTTTCCACACACCAAATAATTTAAGAGTTTAATAACAAACTATGTATAGACAATTCAAGCAAATTCTACAAATGCGTCCAATCATAATTCACCATCTTGTTACAATAACTATATAACGACAGTGTATAACATTCATCGAACAAGTCTTCTTTGAAGTCCAAAGAGAGTCTAAAGGTGTGAACCTACGCGATTCAGTACGAAATCGCGGAGCCAGGTGGAGCTCTGATCTGCTGCGACGCTATTCGACCACCGGTGAGTTTCCGTCGGCCGGAACGACGATCGCAGCCGAAGAAGAAAAATAAAAGAGAGAAAAAAGGAAATAAATACCTTGTGGGACTGTCTCTGGTGGCCGACGAGCAATTTTCCGGCAGTGTTTTCCGGCGAGCAGTTGAGATCAGTGAGACTTCAATCCGACTAGTTTCTGATTCAACGCTGCATTTTGTTTGAGTTTGATTTGATGGAGTTGCTGAGTTTTGTTGTTTTTAGGGTTTTAACGGTTAATAGTAAAAAAATGAGAAAGAAAGTGAATTGAAGTTGGGATTACTCAGTTTGAAGTTTGTGTTTTCCTTTCTTGCTTTTTTCTCTTTCCTTTTTCATTCCATTAAAAAAGGAAACCTATCTGTTTTTTTTTTTTTTTTGATAAAATCTGTTTGGCTTTTATCTTCATATTTGGTTTTTTTTTTTTACAAATTATTATTAATATTTAATTTATTTTTATTTAATTATAATACTTATTGTTATGCAATCACTTCTTCAATAGCTACTAGCATTTTTATAAAAATATCACCAAAGCTCATGAGAAAATATAGGAATTTTTTAAATCCGTTTAAAGATTTATTCTAATATGTAAGTCAACTAATAAATAATGTCAATATTATTAAGTTATGTGTATTTCAACAAAAGATTTTAGATTGGGTAAAAGTTTATAACTGTATTTAGTGACTTTGATCTCATAGACACTGTTCTAATCTAAAATTTATCCTTTTTTTTTCTCAAGACATTCCTCACAAAGATCTTCAATGGCTCAAGTTTGCACAAGTGTTGACCCGGTCAAATCATCACCTAAACACTGATGTCTCAAATTAGGGTTTTGATCTTCATAAGAAAAATTAGACTTCTAATGCCTCAAATGACTTTTATGGATCATCATAAACCTCTAAGAATATTTATGCCAAGTTTCAAGTCTTGAATCACAAATTTGCTTAGTCAATTGACCAGATGACTAAAAAATTAATTGTATTAGGTAAAAAGGCAATTGTGGTCAACATATAGTCAAACTTCAAGATTCTTGACCGATATCAACATTTTAAAGTGCTATTCATTATTTGATCAAGTATTGATCACAATCCCTCAAGAAAAACACTCAATTTACCAAAAGGGCAAAATGGTCAAAAATTAGGGTTTTGACTGTAATTGACTGACATTAAGTTTTGACCTAATACAGGATCCAATGGCTTGAAGCACAATCTCAAGGATTCAAATACAACATGTTGACCTAATCTCATGGCTCAAATCATCTTTCAAAATCAATGGATTGATAGTTCAATTTTGGGTCAACTGATGAAAAGTCAACTGATGCACAAAAAAGTCAAACTTTGACTTTTTTAATCAAGACTTGTTTTCGAAGATCATAATTCATCAAGACATTCAAAATATGAATCTTGATCATCAAGAAATCAAGAAAGTCAAAAGTCAATTTGAAAAGTCAAACTTTTCAAGACTCCGAAATTCTCCCAAGTGTTTTATACATGATAATTTCACTACTTCATGTCAATTTTTCACCAAGATCCAAGATAATTAAAAGAAAACTTTCAAAATGAAAGTTGTAGATCTTTATGATATCTACAACTTTGTATTAGAGGGCTCATATCCAAAAAATACTTAAATTTTGAGTTATAGGCCCACGAAGTCATGCACTTTTTCTTAAACACTTAGTGAAATTTTGACTTAATTTAGGCAGATTTTTGTCCCAACTTCTTGACCATTTTTCACATAGCTCCAATTTGATTTAGAAAAAATGGAAAACATGAAAGTTATAGAGGATTTTTCAAGCTTCCCAAAATGTCCAAGAACTTGAAGAGATCATTTTTGAGCTAAGAGAATCGAAGATAGGAAGTTGGGCATCCATTCTTGAATTACAAGGCATTTTTGTGATGAACACTTGACCAAATCTCTAACCATGTTGCATAATCTCACTTTACAGGCCTTCTAACTTGGGTATCTATCTCTATTCAGAAGATTACACAAGCTTTTGAGCTATGAACCACTTGATTTAAGCATTGTTAAATACATCTTGCTATTTAAGGAAGAAAGTTCACATTTCCATTTTGGAAAAGTGACTTTAATCACAAAGTCAACTTGTATGGAGCCTCTAACCTTTTCCTTCTACACACACTCAACACACAAGGTAAGAAGCAACATGTTTAAATCTCTTATCCACCCTACAAACCTTGTATTATACATTGGAACAATGTTTGTCAAGGTTACTTCAAAAACAAGTCAAAATCCATAAACATGTGATCTTGTACTTCTGATCACCTCAAGCTCCTAAATATTTTCCTATAAATTGAAGCATTGTTTACAAACCTAGGAGACTAGTTCAAAACCCCTGAAACTCTCCCAAACTCCCTCTAGCCAGAAATTGCACACAAACTCCATTTTTGTGCAGATTCTGACATTGCACCTCCATCTCACAAATCACTCGTGTGTTCTTCCTCAAAACAAATCACAAAGCACCTATACATAATTTAGAAGCAAACCAAACACATGTTACATTTCTATAACTCTATTTTCACCTTCCTTCATTTCCAAAATCAGAAGGTTGCACATTTACTTCTACACGAAGATTCAGCCACTCTCAATCCAAAGTAACTATTGGAATAGCTTCCTGGAGGCTCGAGGAAGTTAACTAGATTATTACAACACCTTGAAGTGAGCTCTAACTCAAAACGCGATTTCCATTTTCAATGTGACTTTTCTGATTTTCTAACTCTTCATACAGGCATCATTTGACTTCCATTTTCAAAGATAAAATGTAGACATCATAGCCCTGAAACTAACCATGCCCTTAGAATTCATTTATATTGCTTGAGTGATATGAATTTCAGGTTTGAACTTTCTGGAAAAATTAGGTCAGAATTGGTACCAGTTAAAATTCGTGTTCATCTTTGAGTGTTAGTTTTAGTTATTTACATTTTTGAAATCGTGATGAAATTTCTAACAAGTTTGATGTTTACATTTTTGAGAATGGTTGAGAAATGAGAAAGATACGAAATTCAAAAATGGTGCTCTGTTTGTGGCGCGGGGAAGAAGAAGACAATATGTTCAGGATTCGTTTTATAATATATTTAATGATTGTTATTCCTATATCTGATGTATAGGTCACCTCAGTGGTAGCAAGCGCGCGTAAGGCTTATCTATGGAAGGTCCTGGGTTCGAGCCCCAGCGAGACCTTTTGTATTTTCACTTGTTTTATTTTTTGTTTGGATAGGTGCGCATGGGCCTCATGCCTTTGGGATTTAATGCATTTTTCTGACCATCACCCCTTGTTTACTTGTCACCACGCAGCCCAACTTTCTTTTTTTATTTCTTTTGTTTCTGATTAGCAAAAATACACTTTGGGCCTTAACCAAACAGAAATTGTTTTTTTTTACTTTCTTACACCTATTTTCATTCTTAAACCCCCTGGCTTAAAATTTATATTTTTTATTTTATTTTATTTTATTTTCTTATTTTGTTTTATTATTATTATTTTTAATCAAAAATACACTAAATATATTTTCATAAATAATTAAATGAAAAAGATTTTATTTTTAGTTTATCCCTACATTACTTCATTTTATAAATCACAAAAACTCTAAAAAAACATTTTCTTTCTTAAAATTAATTAAACCAAGTTAAAATTAGGTTTTTATTTTATTTTAATTTTCTCTTTTAATCAAATTAATTTAGATATCAGGATTTTTATTAATTTCTTTTCAAATCAATCAAATTAATCAAAAACCTTCTCATACAAAAAACCATTAAAAAAAAACAATTTACTTTTCTTTCGCATTATCTTTATATTCTTGTACATTCTATTATTAAATATGGTTTTAATAGTAATTAGGTTTTAATTGCTTTATATTCCCCGTTTGTAATTTGCACCCCCATCCCCTAAAAGTGATGTAATAGCGTAGAACTTTTAATTTTCGTAATTTATCGCTTTCCATATTATTGCTAGTAATTAGGGTTTGTATGACAAGACTTAAAACCAACAAGTAGACAACCCTAATTCAAGAAAAAATGAATGAAAAAAAACACTTTTCACACTTGCACCTCTAGGGTTAACCCACGCTTGTTGCCTTAGAATAAAATAGTCATGTCCCTTGAACGTGGGATACTTTAGCAAAGACCTTCGATTACAAGATCGTAGTCCATTGATGACCCTTCGACGTTGCTTTCGGTAAACGACATTAGACCCTTATGACAAATTGCTAAAGTATCCTATAAATGTTACCTTCTATGACTGTACGATGACCCACGCATGTCCTTTCACATCCAATGATAGGGCTTCTTATCAATCAATGATGAGATAGCAATATCTAAAGGAGAAGGAAAAGAACAAAGACTTTTTTTGAGTAGGTAGACGCTCGTAGTTGCTTGCTCATGACATTTTAAAACATCTTTCAAATACACCAACACTTTCATGAAATATTTTCAAAAGTCAACACTTTGTATACATTCTTATAGAGACGAGAATCATTACAAAGTTTGCCTAAACAAAGGCACTTTTCAAAAATACTTTCAAAACAAACCACAAACACATTTACAAAGCATTTCAAAGTGAGCTAGAAACTAAGATCCCGTAGATAACTACGGATGAAAATGGTGCCAACACCTTCCCTTTTCATAACCTACCCCCC